GTGTGTGTGTGTGTGTGTGTGTGTGTCGTGTGTGTGTGTGTGTGTGTGTGTGTGTGTACTCGTGTGTGTGTGTGCGTGTGTGTGTGTGTGTGTGTGTGTGTGTGTGTGTGCTCTAGATTTAGCTTGCAATGTGCGGGAGGGCGTGCAATGTACTGTGCCGTTTGGTTGCTGCGTGCGCTGTTGAGAGCTTGTTCCCTGTGCAACGCCAAATACACCGCAGAGTCATATGCGCCTCACCCGCACAATCGCCTGGACGTCGCTATGGAGGTTGAACCTCTAAAACAACCTAAACCTTAAACCCTAAACCCATATAAAGGCTTCCCGAGATCCTGAGTACCCAAACGAGGTATCACGAATCACAAGCACATTCTTTGTCTATTAATAACTCCCAGGATTGGGCATGATGGGATTGGAGGGTTTGCTGGCTGGTACCTCGACCGAGTCACCATCATCGACAGACACACAACCAAATCGTTTGCGTTCCCCTGCTCGAGATGGCTATCAACCACGCGCGACGACGGGCAGGTGTGTGTATCGGTAGTGTGCATAAGCGCATACGTATATTCTACGTTTTGGAACAATATGTATACGCCATGTCCTGAGTTCTCCATATAAGTTATGTCTCTCAACAGTTCGGCACAGGAAACATGTATGAGTCAAAACTTACAGACTTGTCAGCATGCAACATACACCGAATGTGCATAGGCCTGCGTATGTATACTGTCTTTTTACAGTTCGGTACTGGAAATATGTACGAGTCAAAACTTACGGACTTGTCAGCATGTAACATTGCCTGGAAACATGTACGAGTCAAAATTTAACGACTTGTCGGCATGCAGTATATACCTGATGTGCATAGGCCTGCATTCATATAGTCCCCCACCCAACAGCTCGGTACTAATCCGCCCTTCCCCGCTCGGCCCAGATCGTGCGAGATCTACAAAGCGAATACTTTTACGCGCTGAAGTCGTCGGATTTCAAGCCATCGTCGTCCGATGTCATCTCGTTGGGAGGCAAAGACACGTGCAAGGTATCTACGAACAGCCACAGAACAGCCCTGCTGCACGCATACGAGTAGACTGTGTTTGTGAGTGTAGACTGTGAGTGGTACTTGTACACGCGTGCTTTGCTATTAATAGATTTGGGGGTGGGGTTTAGTCCTCAGTCTAATAACTGAAAACCCGCTGGGGCCATCTGGGACATACAAGACTGTTCGGTACTTATATCTCGTCAGAGACGTGAGTATAATTGGCATTCGTGCCTGGCTCGTGTAGTGAGGGGAGTGGGGTGTAAGGCGTTTCATCTAGTTTTATTTATATATGTCACTCCAGTGAACAGAGTGATTATGTGTAGGTAAACGAGTTCGACACTATAAACCGTGTCAGACCCTTAACTGCCTGCTGTGTGTTACAGGGGTTGCGCTATAAATAGATTTGGAAATCTGGCTTAGCCTCCGGCAGAGTATTCTATGCCATACTTACACAGCAAGTATAGACGTAGAATCACTTTGCGCGCTCCGGCCCGGCTCTGCCTTTGCCACGCGAACGATTCCACTGACCCGAGTCATTCTTCCGTTGTATCCGAAGGCAGCACAGCATGCATCGACAAAGTACTGTGAGTATTATGTGGTAGATAACTATGGACATGCTATACAATCAAAACTCTATCCCTTCATCCCTAAACCTTGCCGTATTGCTATATGCAGGACTACTGTCCGAAGGTGTTCCGCAACCTGCGAGAGATGTATGGCGTAAACCACAAGGAATTCATTGAGTCCTGGATATTGGCACCAGAGAAGCTCGTCGCCAAAGAAGGGGCTGGGCGATCCGGCTCACTGTTTCTGCGCTCCAACAACCATCAGTATATGATGAAGACTATTCCAGAGGATGAAGTATGTATGAGTGGTATATTGGTATGTTCATGTACATATCAATGTATACGTGTTGCTGAGTCCAGAGGATGAAGTATGCATGAGTGGTACATCTGTATGTTCGTGTACATATTAATGTATACGTATTGCTGAGTCCAGAGAATTAAGTATGTATGAGTGGAAAATCTGTGTCTTCCATGTATGTATCAATGTATGCATACTACTAGCTTTATTTTGGATTTTTCCTTGGTCTTGCTTCAAGTCGACTATGAATACAACTATACCTATACGTGCAGGTATACATCTATAGCTCTGCATAGTGTGTCTGTATTGTCAAATTTTACCAATACGAACAATAGGACCATATATTGGCTTATACAAGTCTGGATCCTGAGGCACTCCCGCGCTTATGAACTGGTTATAATTGCATCATATTATTTCGTAGGCATCTAGATATATGCATCCACACGGGTGTTTGTCCGCCATAACTAGGCCGAAATCGACTTTCTCTTATGAGCTCATCCAACATTTGTGTGTTTTCTGCGTTCCCCAGGTAGCTAGTTTGTGTAATGTCCTCCCCAGGTACTACAAATATCTCAAATCAAGCCCGGGCTCCCTCATCATGAAGGTATGCGCCGTTGTTCTTAAGCCTGCAGCTGCCTGTGGTGTTTATGTGATGCCAGGTCATGACTACGATTTGTTTGTAGAATCATTCTTATCAAAGTTTGGTCTCTGTCAAGGTGTGCGACTATTCGCTGCTTGGCAGGAGTGAGAGAAACGTCTTGGTTCGCCTACTTAAGTACAGTAGTGAATGGTGTCATGCCAGCCTTTGAGTGAGCTGTGCATGTAGCGACATGGTGGGTGGGGTTGTCTCTGGTTGTGTATGACTGATCAGCCAATGTGAGGAGTGAATGGCCTGTTGATATACCTATCGCGGAGAGTGTCTCGGTGAATTGATATCGTTTTAGGTTGTGCATAAGCAATGTTTGTGAGTTAGTCGTAGGTTAATACGCAATGTTTGTGAGCTAGTCGTAAGTTAATAAGCAATGTTTGTGAGCTATTCGTAGATTAATACGCAATGTTTGTGAGTTAGTCGTAGGTTAATAAGCAATGTTTGTGAGCTAGTCGTCGATTGGGAGTCTGCTCTTTTGGACGTAGCAGTCTCAGTCGGATTTTCTATGTCAATCAAATCGGTCAGTTGAATGTCTGGTCTGGAAATTCGAATTGGTAATCAGTGCACACTGCTTCCATGAAATATTCCTCGTTGTTGTTGGAAGATTGCTGTGGTATATGGAGCTCATATCTATCAGTAGCTCGGCTATTTAATCCTGAGAGGTGCGTAATTCACGACTACCAATTCTTTGGTGACTACGATTAGCCTGACATGTACGTTTTTAACAAAATACCAAATTCTTACCATCCGATTTAGGTATTCTCATTGCTTCGATTTGAGATTGGGGGAAATAAGCTGTATGTTATGATATTCAACGATGTCATGTTTGGCGTACCCAGCGAATTGCGCACAGCGACATATGATCTAAAGGGTATGTCTCTGTGTATTCAAAGGGTGTTTATCTGTCTGTATTATGTAAATGTATATGTATAATAAATATATATATATATATAGGCAAAAGTAATGGTAATAGTGATGGTAGAGTTATATGTATATGTATAGATATATGAATATGCATAAGTATATGTATATGCGCATGCATATATATATGTATATATATATGTATATTATATTATATATATATAATATATATATATATATATTATATTGTAGTATATATTGTATATATATATATATATATATATATTCATACTTATATATGTATGTATGTATACATATATATATATATTCATACTTATATATGTATGTATGTATACATATATATATATATATGTGGAGGGGGGTATATATATATAAATGTGTGTGTGTGTGTGTGTATTTGTGTATGTATGTATATGCATATATATGTATATATATAAGTGCATACATATATATAATTATATATATCGGTGACTTAGACATTGGCTACGTCCGGTCAAGAAGCGAATTATCTTTCTGTGTGTTCTTGCATGCGAGCATAGGATTAGCCGCCGTTGTTCTATTTGTCTGTTTCTATTCGTAATAGTGTCAAAGGCATTGGTAACGCATGCCTCCCGCATATCAATTCTTCTAATTACAGCATTTTTTTACTTGTCGCCGACTTAATCATTCTATATGTGTCTTACGGCTGGTTGCTTGTATATGCCTCATACTTTTGCGTATTCATGCATGTTTTCATATGTTTTGGTGTATATCTAAGGAGTTGTAGCTTGTTTGCCAGTACAGAGGTATGTGTCAAAGAAACAATAAATGTAAGCACACAATTGATACATCGCTGTCGTGCTTGTTCCGACAATATATCTGTGCCTATCCAAAAACGCGACACTAACACCACTGACTTCTCCCGTATGGATGTATGTTCGAGTAAGCCAGGCATATGTCTAACTGATTGTCAACAACCTTCTGTATACAATTGGTTCATATACACTGCCTTTACCTTGCTCGTAGTAGTACTTGCCCCCGAGAAGTGTGTGTGAGTGTGCACTACAAAGTCGACTGGTCGATGATAGCCTTGGCAGAACAGACGGCGGCTCTCGAGATTGTCGTGATTTTATCATTCCCTTTTGATTTGTATGCACTCACCCCGCAAGGAGGTCCCAAATTTTTCGATATATGTGTGTATATGTAGATATACCGGTTGTTTTTACGTAAATACACCAGTTATCTTCTGGGTAGATGGAAATATGGATTTAAGTACAAGTGTGTACTCCCAATTGAAAGAAAATTGCACACATACGTATCTGTACCTGCTCTCTTTTCAATGCTATCTAAGTAGGGCTCCGACTACATATTCAAAGACAAAGATTTGGACCGGGTTTTCCCAGTCAGAGGTATGGATCACATTCCCGCATGTTCAACTGCTTAGCACTAAATTTTTCGTATTTGGGGATACGCTTCTCTATTTTCGGCATGTCGGAACTCATTTACGTTATGCTGATTGCACCGATTATTGAATTCGGGCAGGCGGTATTTATGTATGTGAGTGTATTAGTGTTCTGTTAAGTGGGGTAGGTGAGTTTACGCATTCTACAGTACGGCTCTTTATATAGTTCATAAAGGTAGGTGAGTTTACGCATTCTACCATACGGCTATTCATATAGTTCATAAAGCCACTCTACATTCCCCTCTCATCTGCAGCTAAGGACAAGGTCGCTTTGCTAAAGCAACTGGATCAGGATATATTCTTCTTCGCGGAGGCGAATCTGATGGACTACAGGTAGGCGTGTTACTTCAAACGGATGGGTAAATGACTGGTCAATATCAGATACGTCAGGTATATATACGAGCAATATTATACTGTTCTGTCGTGCAATGATGAGGTAGGCGTATATATGAATATGTGTATGTGTATATGTATGTGTATGTATAGTATACTGATGTTATAATATATATATATATAATATTATACAAGACTATGAGTACACGCACGTTGTATGAAGCAATACTAGTTAGTGACACATGCCAGAAGCAAACAACTAAACGCGCCTCCATTGCACACAACAAATGGATAATATTCCCATGCTTTATGGCGATACAGCATTCTATCAAAACGTAGATCTCCATGCACATCAGCAAGTTTATTCATGCGGCATGCCTCTGCGCGTACGAACAGTCATTCGGATTATCCCACTTTCCCACATGCTTAATTATATTTACTGATTCTTCTTCCCCGCATATCCATACCGATCCATGCACGAGGTTTAATAGCATCTCCTAACACTCAACCGTCGCTTCGTGCTGTTCTGTACCCGCACTGATCTAACAGTATGTTGATAGGCACTTTCACACTACCGGAAGAAGTGTCTCCCGCCAGTTTCGAGCCGCCGAGATTCAACACTATGCTGACCGCTAAAGGCGATCGTGAGGTATTCGTACCACGGTGTTGTATGTTTTTCTGTCTCTGTGTATTGATGTTGTTGAAGAGTAGCATGTGTGTGTGTGCTTGACTTGTGGTATCCATGGTATGTATATACACGCAGCTACATGTACACGACATACGACCCTACGGCAATCGCCAGGTGCTGTCCACAGTATTCCATTCCATTGCATCGGCATTGCTGTATCTTGGTCTGTGTGTGTGTACTGTCGTACCTCTGCAGACACGCTTTTCGCCCACACTCTGTGACACAGGTTTACTGTGTGGGCTTCATCGATTGCCTGACCCGCTATAACTGGAAGAAGAAGACCGCACACGCCTTCAAGACAAAACTTTGGGACTCGAATACGCTGTCCACTATCGATGCGGAGAAGTATGCGGAAAGGATTCGAAACTATCTGATGGAGCTGTTTGAGGGGAGTGATAAGGATGTGGCCGTGGCGCTTTCGTACCGGAATACCACCAAAACAAAAGCGGGACGGAGTTTGACGTCCAGTGGGACGTTAACCAAACTCAACAGGAAACGATTTACAGAGAAGAAGGTAATTTCGACAGTTAGCTAGCTGGAGATGTATGTTCCCTCCAAACTTGTGTGCACTCGCATGCGTCATTTGCACTGAATACGTATAATGCGAAACAGTCAATGGCCAACTGTGTGGCGGCAGTGGCATCCTACTGTCCTTTCGATTTGTATAGGGACATATATATAGAATTGTATAGGCACATATATATATATATATATATATGCATATGTATATGTATACATGTATGTATGTATGTATGTATATCTATCTATCTATCTATCTCTCTATTTATATATATTATATGTGTGTGTGTGTGTGTGTGTGTGTGTGTAAGTATATAGGTATATATATATATTTAAATATTATTATATAATATATCTATATTATTATATTATTATTTATTATATATCTATATCTATATTTGTTTTAGTGTGTGTGTGTGTGTGTGTGTGTGTGTGTGTATTTATGTATGTATATAGGTATGTATGTATGTATGTATATATATATATATATATATGTATATGTATATGTATATATATATACATANCTTTTATCTTCAACCGCCCGCCCCAGTATCTTTCATCGCTTGCACCACTCAGCTTCGGATGCACATCCTGTCAGCGATTGTCTCTGGCTGAATTGAAGTTCTGTACACACTGCTAGACGGAGTGGGTTCAGAGTGCAGACATGGTGTTCCTATATATATCTCATTCAGAAAATCAATGTGTGAAGCTTGTGACTGACCAAATTCAGATTGCTGTAGTCATTTGCTGTAATCATAGGACTCTACAATATATTTTAACAGCGCTGCTCGGAGATACTGTGGTGTATCTGGCATGTACGGACAAATGTAGATAAACTGTCTCCCAAAGCAAGCTACATAACTATTGTTTTGTATTTATCTGGCAATACTTTAGGTATGCATGTACATGTGTACAGCGACTATCCTCCCAAGCGATCAACATAGTGATTGTTTTGTATTGATTGGGCAATGCTTGTTGCCATTGCTGTGCAGGTGGAATACATCGAGACAGCCGCTGATACGATTGAAAAGGATATAACCAATCTCGAACACTTGATTGAGCTCGTACGGAATGCGGTAGGTAGTACGGGTACGGTCGGGAGCCCTGCTTTTATGTAATCTCCATCTGGTTGAAATGGTGGCCGTTCTATGATTAGTCATGGTGTGCCCTACGCCAGTACCATGATGTGGTCTGTCTTGTCCCTGTACCAGTTTCGTATTTGATTGTTTTATGGTGGTAGACGCCAGTTTCATCCTCGCGCGTTCTTGGGTTCGCCAAGAGAAGTGAAGTGACGTTGTTAAGCAGCAGTCGATGAGTGCGTTACATTGACTGGTGTGTTGTTAGTTTGTGCTTACTTGAATACAGGTTAATGTGTATTGGTTCACATACGCGTTTTAGTATGTACGTGCCTTTGTCCTTGTCTATGTATATGATATTCATCAATGTTCAATCGACTCCTAGAAGTCTGCTACACGTTACGTTATTGTGGCCTTAATTCGGCAGTGGTATGATTGGTGCCTGGACAAGATTTTTCTATACCATATTTCTTACCACAATGATCCTCTCTAGATATATGAATCCTGTGCCTGTGTTGATAATCTCCTGCTCTGTAAATTCTTATCTTCATACAAGTTTGTGTAGGCATTAATCTCGCATGTTCTTCCGATCTTGTCAAATAAGACATAGACATCCTGGTTCTACTGATACAGACACTTTCCTCGTCTCCCGCGAATATTGGAAGACATCGTCTTGACATACCCATGTAAAACAAGGGAACAACCCATGATAATTCAATTCTTTTTGACTTATTCCACACCACCACCAGGTGCCAGTAAACCCCAAGGCAGTCACTGGCGCACCCCAGACCAACGGTGGCATGAGCAATGGAGAAACCCATATAGATGAACAGTCACAAAAACCGAGCGATCATGGTAGACGCTCACCAGAGGCAACACTCAGGACAAAGGGGACTAGCACGGCCGTTGCGGTTGAGGTGGCTGAGTCGACTAAGAGTAGTAGTAGTACTGTACGCGACCCGGTTGCGAGCAGTGCAGCAAATACAGCTGAGGGTAGTCAAGCTGATGGAGGTGCTCAAGAACAGAGTCCGGCTGAAGCTCAAGGGGAAGATGAGGTTGGTGGGAGGAAGACAGTTGTGCCTCCCATAAGCCCGCGGATAGAGATACAAGCGCCTTTTACGGATGAATTCGACCCTGTGGAGATGGAAGGAAACGAGAGCTCTGGAAGGACGGACTGATGCAGTTTTAGTTTAATATATCGCGCTTTAAAATACGACGCACTCGACATTCGCAATTAAAGTAAAATTAGCATATCCTTAAGCTCGAAAATTATAGCACAGCCAGATTGTGTATATACGTAGTACATTGTGCGTAGCCACGGAATCAACACCATGCAATGAGTCTGTAAGACATTTATCTCCTCTGTATGCATACCGACCCAAAGACAAAACATAGTATTTGATTTGTAAAAATCGTTCGGGTGTACAGAAATCGCAATTTCAAGCATACATGGTCAGACGTTAAGACCGTACCTTTGTAGTTTGAACCAACATACACTGAAGCAGCGCTACGCCATATGTAGAAGAAAAAAATACAAACAAGCTGACGTCAACAAATACTGAAGGCAGTTGTTATGAACAACCAAATTATCACGGTACTTCTGTGATGACTCCCCATTCTCAGATGGTGAGCTTCCTTCCTATCCGCAGTTCGCAGTACTCGATAGTATTACCAATCGCATGCAACAACTGCAAGTAGAGTGCAGACTTCGATTTGAAATCATATTTTAATTTGAGGGCATTGTGAAGTATTTATTTGTTAGCATATATTGGCTACTATTACTGTTGCTTATTCATGTGGACCAGAAGATCGACAACACGATGAGAGTATCCCCACTCGTTATCATACCATGAGATTAGCTTGACGAAATTGTCTGTAAGTGCTATACAGGCATCAGCATCGAAAATGGACGAACGCTCATCTCCACGGAAATCTATGGATACCACAGCGTCCTCAGTGTATCCGAGGATACCCTTGAGCTCTCCATCGGCCGCAGCCTTGACAGTCTTCGTGATATCATCAAGCGATGCCCCATTCTTAAGGTTGACTGTAAGGTCGACAACAGACACGTCAGCGGTAGGGACACGCATCGACATACCGGTAAGCTTTCCATTCAAGTCCGGGATAACCTTACAGACGGCCTTGGCGGCACCGGTGGATGAGGGAATGATGTTTTGGGCGGCACCACGGCCACCACGCCAGTCTTTCATGGATGGACCATCAACAGTCTTTTGGGTGGCGGTGTACGAGTGTACGGTGGTCATTAGACCGTCAACAATTACGTAGTTGTCATGGATAACCTTGGCAAGGGGTGCCAGGCAGTTAGTGGTACATGAGGCGTTAGATACGATGTCCATATCGCTCTTGTACTCATTGTGGTTCACTCCCATAACAAACATGGGTGCATCTCCAGAGGGAGCAGAGATGATAACCTTCTTGGCTTCTCCCTTCATGTGTTTGTTGGCGCCCTCCAGTGAGGTGAACACACAAGTAGACTCTACGACGTACTCAGCGCCACATGAGGCCCAGTCGATCTCAGCAGGGTTGCATTTGTCGAACACGGTGATAACGCTTCCATCAACGACGAAATTACCATCCTTGATCTCAACGGTTCCAGGAAAGGTACCATGAGTGGAGCCGTATATGAACTTGTATCGCATGTAGTCCAGAGGGATGAAAGGATCGTTAACTCCGACAACCTCGACCTCGCTGTGCTTGAGTGCGGCGCGAAGTACAAGACGACCAATTCGTACAAATCCGTTGATTCCGATCTTCACCATTGTGTTGTTGTGTAGATGTTGTCAATTGTCTATTTGTATTTTTACTATTTTCATTTGGGACTCCCGCTCTTTATATAGTGCGCATTTTGTGTGTTATAGCATTCATTCTATAAGCAACACAACAATAACATTCTGGATAACCATAGAATATGTTTACTCTTTCCAGAGGAATATATAACGTGTTTGGTTGCCGAGACGTGTCTTTGGTTATCAAGTCGAAGAGTTACCATATCTAGGTAAATTATAAATAATAATATATCCGTTGCTCAATGAAAAATCAAAAATGAAGCCAACTATGTACCTGCAACGAGAAAATATGAAACCGTTAAATTCCGAACAAACCTTTATAGAAACAAATCAAAAATTTACTCACAATTAGCGGATCCTCTACTCTTGTAATTGTTTTGTTTTTGTTTTTTTTTGAAATACAATACGATATAGTTAATATCTCACCTGTATTTTTTTACAAATATATACACCGACGAACATTCGAACAATCAATCTGTTCTCCTGATCGCCACACGACACACGTGGAACGTCCCACAGAATAACCCTTTCCAGAGGAATGTTCTGAACAATAACACAATAAATAATAAATAACAAACAAATTACTGAAAGAAATTGCCACCGGAGGCCTGGAGCAACCCAGCACAAACATCCTCCGATTAGACATTTCATACAGAGGGACATAGAATCCCATTCTCGACTATCCTCATATCATCTATCAACGCTAATATGTAATAACCAACTTAATTGTGACATTGTATACGAATATGTACTTGGTTGGAAAACATCCCAATTTATTAATTTATAATAATTATATTCTCTGTTCGCGAGAGGTTCCTTGAATTCACAGATGCAATTACCTTCACTCAGAGTGTGTTAAAGTGTTTAAGTCACAGTTACTATGTCGCTCCGATCTCTATGTCTGATCGCTTCCTCTTTTATCCTCTATGGCCCAGGAACCACACTTCGGATCTCTACCCTTACTGATATATGAATACATGTTGACATTCTTAAACCCACCCCACCAGCCAATACGTGCGGTGTCTATTACTACTCTTATACTATTTCCCTTTTAGACTTATAGCGTACAACGCAAATTACGGTCACCAAACACATCGTCTACACGGCCAACTGTAGGCCAGAACTTCGACGTACTCGAATCGGTTACAGGCCATGCAGCCTTGCTGCGGGTGTAGTTGTGCTCCCATTTATCGCTCGAGACTTCCTCGGCGGTATGTGGCGCGCTAAGATGGAAGGAACGGAGCAGAAGGATAAGTTAGTTGGCTGTCATGGATTACTAGTTGTATACGCGGAATGAAGAACAGAAGGCTCAGATAGCACACAACGATAACCAGACTGTGTACGCCTGAACAGTGAAATACGTTGATAACTAATCATATACATATCCCTAAACGTATACATCTTTCCCTAATCGTATACAAACACATATACAGATATACGTTGCTTAATTTTCTCAATCATATCCAAAATAAATGTCGAATGCTGGGCATATGTACATGTCACATACTTCTTCAACACATTGTCCGTGTGGTCGGCGGCGCCTTCTTCTATCTCCTTGATCTCCGCTCGGATAGAAATCAGAGCGTCCGCAAAGCGGTCCAATTCCTCTTTGGACTCGCTTTCCGTAGGCTCGATCATGAGTGTGTTGTTCACAGGCCACGACATAGTTGGTGAGTGGAACCCGTAATCAATCAAGCGCTTGGCAATGTCGATACTCTCAATACCTGCACTCTGCTGGAACTTTCGCACGTCGAGGATGAACTCGTGTGCACACGTTCCGTTGGTGCCAGTGTAGAGAATTTCGTAGTGTCCTCGCAGGCGTGAGGCTAGGTAGTTGGCACTGAGTATCGCCAGGTGTGTGGATTTGACTATCTCGGGACCCATCATGCGGATGTATGCCCAGGAAATGGGCAGGATGGCGGCCGATCCAAAAGGTGCCCCACTGATCATGCCAAACGCCTGGTCGCTGTTACCATCTGTATAGGATTGAGCCGAAAATGGGAGATTGGTAAAAGGAATATGCATCGACTGAGAAGAGTATAAGGATACTAGTGGGAAAAGACTGTGAAGAAAATCTGTGTAGATTGTGACAAAGGCAAAGATGTAAAGTGCCAGAAGGTGCCCTGACTTGAGGTAAGACAACCAATGAAATGGGCCTATAACATCCACAAGACTGACAACACAAAAACACAAAGACTCGCTCAGTGTACAACACTCACCGTTCTCAGCTGGCCCGATACCACCTCCCGGGATCTTGACCACATTATGTGTGGGCAAAAAGGGCGCCAGATGGCTCTTCACGCCAATGGGTCCCATTCCAGGTCCACCACCACCGTGTGGGATACAGAAGGTCTTGTGCAGGTTGAAGTGCGATACATCCGAGCCATAGTCTCCTGGGCGACACAGACCCACTTGCGCGTTCATGTTAGCACCGTCCAGGTATACCTGCCCCCCGTGCTGATGCACCAGGTCACACATGTCTCGGATACCCTCCTCAAACACACCGTACGTGCTTGGGTACGTGATCATAATCGCCGCTAGGTTGTCTGAGTGTTTGTTGACCTGTGAGGCCGAGGATTGAGATGTGGGATCATAATGAGATCACCGAATACTGTGGATGATACAGGGCAAAATTCACGTTTTTCTTCTGAAAATTGGTTCATATGGGAAAGCCCCCCCACCACTCTAAGCATGCAACAGAACAATCAATCGCACAAAAAGTTAAATGGGACCACGTACAATCACGTACAATCACAGGCGGTTAATTCCTTTACATTGAACACATAATGGTATGAGCCCCACCAAGCCCTCGTGCACTTCCAAAGCATGCTTACTTTCATACCACAACAACAAACGACAAATAAACCTTGTGTATACATTCGAAGCGTGCCGCTTCACCATGACAAACACTATACACCAACACATATAGTATAGACACACCTTCGTGTGCAAATCCGCCATGTCGATGTTCCCCTTCGCGTCGTTACGCACAGCGACCACCTTCATGCCACACATCTGTGCAGATGCCGGGTTTGTGCCGTGTGCTGAGGATGGGATGAGACAGATGTTCCTCTCCTGCTGGCCTTTGCTATCCAGATATGCTCTGATAGCCATAAGCCCTGCATACTCGCCCTGGGCCCCACTGTTGGGTTGCAGAGAGACGCTGTCATAGCCCGAGATCTCGCACAGGTCGGCGCAGAGCTCCTCAAACATTTCGTAGTAGCCCTTGGCCTGTGTTAGTTGTGTTGTGATAGAATGACTTAGTTGGACGTTGGAACCGAAGAAAGACAGGAACAGCACATGGAACAATGGAACCAGAGGACTATGGAACTTGCCCCTATGGGTCTTAATCAAATTCGAATGATACCAAAAAGCTCCCAATTAAAAACCCAGTTGAACCCACTTCTAAATCGTAAATCTCGAAAATTAAAACCTTCCTGTGGATAAATTAAAAAAGATTGCATGCGAGCCCATACCTGATCTAAAGGCGCAAACGGGTGGATGTTCGTGTAGTCGGGGTTGCTCAGAGCCTTCAATGTAGTAACGCCGTTAAGCTTCATAGTACAGCTGCCCAGGGCGATCATAGAGTGACATAGCGACAGATCCTTGTTCTCCAGGGTCTTCGCGTATCTAGTCAACGCCGCTTCGGAGTGGTGCGTGTTGAATACGGGGTGGGTCAGATACTCACTCGTTCGCACAAGCTCATGGGGGTAGGCATAGCCCACCAACTCGCCTACGGGATGGCTATTGTCTGTGTAATCGGATAGTGTGACTACCCGGCTATCCGCACCGCCGTTGCTGAACACCCACAGCAAATCGTTGAGGTCCTTCTCCGTGGTAGTCTCGTCAATAGATACACACACAGCAGCCGTAGTACTCTCGGCCGCCGTCAATACGCGCAGGTTGATCTCTTTAGCACCGGCCCGGTTCTCTAGCTCAGACGTGCTGAGGTTAGACGAAAGCTCGACACAGACGGTGTCAAAGAACTGGTCGTACTTCACCTTGTGGCCCTGGCTTTCCACGCCGGACGCAAACACCGATGCGAGTGTGTGCACGCGCGTGGCGATCCTGTTAAGTCCCGTAGGGCCGTGATAGAGTGCGTAGAAGGCCGACATGTTGGCTAGTAGAGCCTGCAATAATTGTGAGATTTTGTGGTTTGAGTACTTGGTGCTAGGTGTTTAAGGACATCGTGAGGGTGCGCTTATCAGCATTCTGGTATGAAAAGCCGCTCTCAATAACTAAACAATAATGTACACATATCCCAATTCACGCACGGATGCTGTAGTACTAATGTCAGTGGTATCGTGACCAGCAGATAAGAACGATACATATGATCCCAAACACACCAATCAATGATAATTGAAGAAACTCCCGTATATATCCAAGCTGTATAAAACGAAACACGTGTATCATCAGTACTCTATCTAAGCCACCAAATCAATCACATACCTGTGCGGTGCAGATGTTCGATGTGGCCTTCTCGCGGCGGATATGCTGCTCACGTACTTGCAGGGCCAAGCGATACGCTGGGTTTCCATGTCTATCCTTAGACATTCCTACAATTCGCCCCGGCATCTTTCGCACCAGCTTATCAGTGGTGGCCATGAACGCAGCATGGGGACCGCCATATCCCAATGGAACACCGAAACGTTGTGTATTACCTACCACTATATCAGCGCCTAGTTCTCCCGGGGGCTTGAGCTGAGTTAGTGCGAGCAGGTCGGTCGCCATGACAACCTGAGCGCCGGCGGCGTGCGCGTTCTCGGCGATCTGTGAGGGATCGGCCACGGCACCAACTGTGTTGGGATACTGAATCAGCACACCGCAAACATCTTCATCCATTTCCTGTGCACAGTACATATCATAGAATGTGGGTTAGAACGCTTTTGTGCATACAGTTCCTGCAAATATGATTCATCAATGTGTATGAATATTGAAGAGTATAAATATTAATATGTACATGGAAAAGCACTCCAGCGACAGTCCAGTTATTTTCCATACTCAGTACATGATAAATATAATTGACATTATATATATATATATACATATATTAATATATATATATATATTCCCTTGAACATTAAATCATACTTCTAAGATACACCTAATAACAACAGCAGCTGTACATTCTGTGTGTCCAGTATCCTTTTCGTTAACAACGAATTCCGATACTTCTATGCAAACACACTTAACACCAACACCGAACGACTAAAAGCGGGAGTGCACTTGCAAAAGAAATCTATCCCTAAAATCGCATTTGAAAGCATGCTAAATCGACCCCCTGACAGTGTCTTGTGTGTTATTCTATAATGACATTGTCGGATATCTGTGTATAGCCAGGGCACCAACAAAGAACTGTGTACGCACTCAGAACAACGTACAGGGTCATCTGCCCAAGTAACATACTCGCACAAGCTCGGTAGCTTCTACTCAGTCTACTTGGCGATCTTATATAATATGGACCAACCAATATCGTAAAAGTGATGTATGTCTTCTTTTGTGACCATACCTGAGGCTTCCTGAAGTCGGCTACACGGACTGTGATACCCATGCCACCCGCCCGTGTACGCATCAGCTCGATATTCTGGGGATGTGCCTTATCATCCACCAAGAATACGTGTTTTCTCTTGGATTTTCTGGTTGCAAAGCACATGGCCATGGCCTCGGCACAGGCGGTTGCTTCATCTAATAAAGATGCATTGGATACTGCCATACCGGTCATGTCAGTGACCATGGTCTGATAGTTCATGAGTGACTCCAATCGTCCCTGGTAGGTGGAAAGGGCAAAGAAAACATCAATATATACTTTGAACTTTGGCTGACAATATGAACTCGAAAAAATGTGACTACAGCATATCCACCATCGTGACTACCCACACACCCCACACACCACTCACGACTGATTCAATCTATCGCATACCTGTGCAATCTCTGGCTGATACGGTGTGTACTGGGTGTACCACCCGGGGTTCTCCAGGATCACACGCTGGATAACAGGGGGCACAATGGTATTATAGTACCCCGTGCCGATATAGCTGCGCTGAACTTTGTTCTTCTTGCCGAGCTCTGCTAAGCGCTCCAAGCACTCGGTCTCGGTAAACCCCTCCTTCATGTTGAGTGGCTTATTGAAAAGGATCTCATTCGGGATGGTTTTCTGGACTAGCTCGTTGATGGACGAGAGACCTGTCACCCTAAGCATAGCCTCGACATCAGTCTCGCGTGGTCCTACGTGACGGCCGGAGAACTGTGATGCGATTGATATGAATACAGCATACGGGATAAGCAAACCCTGATACAATGATGTCAAACTTGCGCTGTGAATGTCACGATAGTAGCTGAAACACGGCTTAAAATATATATGCTAATATCAACGGCATGACCAATGGGTAACAAAAGCCACATTGCAATACTGCGCTATGTTATCGATGATATCTTTACAGAGTGTCAGCTCTATTTGTGACATGTGCAAGAGCACAAAGGCGAAAGCGAAATTTCGTCCCTATTGGATAGATCCTATCAGCCGAGCGTACTACAATAAAGAACACCGTGACCTGCTATGCGAAGATATAGCGGTTGATTAGTAAGATTCGTATAAGCTTTGGTGGATGGTTCTACTTTTCCCTGTATCAGTCTCTGTGCTAAACAATCGTTCAGTTTGCAAACATTTTTTGTGAAAATGTAAGCCTCGCTGCTACAGCCCACGCTGAATCATATAAATCCGACTCAAAACGACCTAAACTTGCACCAATACCCATTCAGGAACAACACTATAAGTTGCAAATAGAGTTGGATAGATGATAAATGTGTGTATACTGTGCTACAGTAATATGCAGAGACTGATCGCGCCACTGGCGTGTCGTCTACTTTCTAGACGAAGCACAACAAAGCTTATAAAGAAAGCAGATCATGACTTTCTGGTAAAGGAACATAGCATGACATGGCAAAGCAACCTAACATAACATGGCAGAGGAATATATCTCAGTCGACTTGTATACCTTCTCGAAGTTCATCAAAGTTGCTTTGGAAAGCGTCTCCTGGTTGGTAACATTTGCACTCTCCTCAGTAAGTGCGCTCCGCAACCGAAATTGTGACTTGAGCAAGTTGCGACCTGATACAGTCAGCACCCGATTAGCTTTCTGCATGGCGGCAAGCATTTTGAATGTTCAAGGTTACCAATGAGAAGTAAAATCCGGTGAATGCAATTCTCTGTTAAAGTTGTGTCTAACTTTGAGCAATTAAATTTCAAGCGAGAGGCAAACAGCGAGAGTGAATCACTGAGTGTTTCTCAAGGATCCGTAAAGCACGATCCGAACACAGTGTACAACACTATTGCACAATTCTTTAGCTCTGTATCGGCAATATTAAATACTATTCCGAAGTGGAACAGACTATATACCGATATCACAATACATGTGAATGTAGCATCACTTCTGTGCAAGTTTCCTATTTCGCACTCACGCGGGATGCGGCCTGCGGGCTCGTTTCCTACCCTCTGGGCTCTGACAGCCTGACTGCATCGATAGCACTTTATCATACATTTTTTTGGTGGGGGTTTTTTTTGGGAAAAATGGAGAATTGACCAATCCTTATGACCGATTCCACCAAAAAGATCTCGAAAGTATGACATTGACGAACAATCGCAATAATATTGTGCAACTCGATGCTTTTCGATTCGCACAGCAATTTACGATTAGCGACAGGAAACAGGAAAAAGTGATGACAGTAATCGGAGTCATTCTCTTTAGAAGCACTGATTGTGCATATTAGCCAATCCTCTTTAGTATATATTAAGACTGGCCCATTTCCCTAGTTACGTTTAAGGACGATCTTTTTTCCGCGCATAATGGCATCATCAGAATTCTATTGAATAAAAAAGCCCCGGCTTAGTTTACAAAATTTGAGCCAGCTAGGCCAATAGTAAGATTTTTTTTAAATGTCCGAGTTGGGAATTGCGACCTCGAGTAATATTTACCAGTTTTTGGGAAGGGCTCACACCCCGTGCCCTTCCTATATTAGTGCTGGTTTGATCAGATATTCTCGAGATACAATAAACGACGTAAAAATATATTTTTTATTAAACTGTTTTTAGAAACAAATTTGTTTCGATTTTTGTTTCGCATTTTGTTTATTTTAAAAAATAGGAACAAACCAAATATAGAACACATGGCACTCTGGAAAATGTCGCTGGATGAAAACTGCATGACTGTGGCACAGTGTATGTACTCAAAAACAAAAAGCTCAAAAACAAAAAGGACTTCCTCGTCACCTCGTGCCCACGTGCAATTTTTATTGTGTAGCACTCTGACACTCACAGACGCTCACAGTATCACTGCTCAGTGCGTCAGGGACTCATCACGCCGCCAGACTCAGGCCTCAGACATCAGGGGCTCAGGGTCTCAGGATCCAGCCTCACAGTCACACTGCACAGGCGTCAACAACAAGAGAGAATATATTTGCAAATACCATTACAAACTTGTCCTACAGCCATACATAGTACGTAATCTATGTTTAGGTACACAGCCTTATTATTTATTATTATTAAATATCACTTCTTGCGAAGCTGTGTAAGAGTACGTGTTTACAGCTTTTCATGACAACGCACTTTGTGAATTCGGGCATGTTCAAAGTACACGCGCATATTTAAGCGTAATATCAGAAAAACCCCATCTGCGATGAAAGATTTTGTCAGTAGTAAATCGAAAATGTGTCACTGACCGTTGCACAACTCGCGTATATTACATTGGACACGTGCTTCAGATCCGAACGTTGAACTACCTGCAATTGAATTGCGATACGAAACAATACAGAGCAGTTTCACACTCAAGTCCTATGTGATCATATACTTTCCACCATATTCGGCATCTGAATAAGTACACTTGAACAATTCAGAATACATATCCATTTACTTAACCATATACGCTTAAATATATGTACTTGGTGTCATATATATATCTATATCTATTTTCTATAAACGTCTATCTCTCTCTATCTATCTATTATATATTCATATATATATATATATATATATATATATATATGATATGATTTATGATGTATATTCCATAGCCTTCTAAAAGAGACATAGAAGCTCTATATATCATGTATATATATAAATATATATATTTATATTTATATTTACACATATATATATATGTGTGTGTGTGTGTGTTTATATGTATTTATACACCTGTACACATACAATAACCACGTATTTTATTATATGTTTTAGTTCATACTAAATCATATACATATTACTCCTACCATCTATATGCAAATATGTGTACATATATTTGCATCATAATGACAAGTATAGATATATACTGGCCAAATATGTATATATACTATATATCTATATATATGTGTGTGTGTGTGTATACATATATATATATATGTATTTGCTTATATGTATATATGTATTTATATATATATATATATGGTTTGGGGGGGGGTGCATGTTGGTGCATACTTGTATATATGTACACATATAAATATATGTATAGGTATATATATGTATATGTGTGGGTGGGTGGGTGTCCATCTTTATGTGTATGTATATATATATATATATGGTTGTGTGCATGTACGTATATATATATATATATATATATATATATATGGGGTTGTGTGCATCTACGTATGTATATGAATATATATATGTATAAATATATATGGGCTATGTGTGTATATATTTATATTATTATTTAATGTATATATGTATGTGCGTGTGTGTCTAATAATGTTTTATATACATATATAGCCCATATATATATATGTATATTATATGTATGATTGAGATATATATATGTATGGATGTATGTACGTATACTTATTAATTTATATATATATATATACATATATATATATATATGTATGTTTACTTATTTATATATTTATTTATATATATATATATGTGTGTGTGTGTGTGTGTTTACACGCATGTGTTTGGATGCGGGCTCGTGTGTATACACGTATATAGATTTAAATAGTTGAAGAATGACACTTGATCGATAAATTCTGAAAGTTCAAACTAGTGCCATGCTTCCGAAGATGTGAAACAAGCTATACAGAGAACAAGTGTTAATTTAAAGGATGGTCAAAAATGAAAGAGTTAATCTTTATTATCCTAACTGCAAAAGAGTCCACGAGCCGTCGCTCTCCGTACTACTGATTGTGATGCATGTTAGCACCAAAAAGTTCAATATTAGTCGTCGAACGCCGAATAATGTCTAATCTGAAGTGATTGTCCCTCTGTGTTTACACTCGTCCATCTAGCTCAGCTGTCTTGGAAGTTTACCGCTACATACGAACGCGGTAATTGGCATCTAGACATTGCTTTTCCAAATATTCAGATGATTTACTCGTCTCTTACGCAACAACTTCTCTCAAGACACTTCACTGTGGCTCCGAAAGGTGCGCATTCCTTTGTCTTCTCGTCTTCACCCTCCTTAGGGGTGTATTGACAACACAGGAAACTATCTGTTCGCACCTCGTCTTCATCATCGCACTCGAATGTATTCTCATTAACATCAAGCTTAGTTTCACAAGTCATCACATATGGGGGAAGATCTGTCTCAAGCATGCAACAAGTTTCCTCGCTACACTTCTCTAGGTTTCCGCATTTGCCTTCTTCCTTGCAGCACTCCTTGGGGAAGTTGATGATCATGTCCTTAGAAGCATCACACTGAATGTTTCTGCTACCGCATGTGCGGATATTATCGGACTGAGGTGGGTCCGGGGTTGGCGGGTTCGGGTCCAGGGTTCGATCCCTGCTCCTTGCAACAATTGCTCACCATGCACTTGGGGATGTATTGACCGTCGGAACCAAATCCACACTGTTTACTCCACTGGCAGCACTCAAACCCGTCGTTTTTAGGAACCATACCCTCGTTCTTGCAGATCTGATTGAACTGATCCTTCTGGGCGCAAGAGATGGGATCCCTCTCTGGCCCGGAGCGCCACTGGGGCTAACTTGGCGTATGTTCATGGCCGAAACAGCACTGCAGGCGGCAGCAAGTACAATAATCAATTTCATGACGAGATCTGATTCGATTTTCCTGTGAGTGTGTGTATATTACAATACAATGGAAGATATGACAATATGCGACGAAAGCTCTTAAATTTTTACTACAAAACGTTCGATGATTTCTTACAGCGTTAAAAATTTCATTCAGATTCATATTCTACAGAAACATGGTGTGTCATGTCTGTGCAGATCGTCTATTTTTATTTAAAAAACACAATGGTCGTTCTTCAGAGTATTCAGTATGCACTTGTATTTCAAGTTACTTCCGTTCACTAAAGCCTAAGTAATTATAATAGCTTCTTATAAAATAATGCACAAATACTCTGTGCTTAGAGGTAGGACGCCGTATAGGTGCCGCGTATCTAATTATATTATTCAAAGCACAGCTACTCGAACTTCCCGAAGGAACTTCTCTATGAGCCGGGTGAGGGTTTTATATGATACAATGATTCTAATAAATAGAGAAAATACAATTCGTATTTTCCCGGAACATTCGAAACTATTCTAAAGAAAGATCAGTGGTGTCGCGCTGTCACGGTGCCACCCCACAATCGCCGAGCAGCCTCTGAATTGATGATTGTGATATTAGTGACATTTCTTTAATTGGTAGGCAGGTAGGGTGGTACTCTTTCTTGCCTGTACAATACTACAACTTACTAATATCAATAGAAGAACAAATCCATATTTTACAATTTAAAAATACCTTTTGGCGAGGATAGATTCAGAAGCTGTTTCCCTCATGACTGCAGGGACTTGGAGTCGAGAGCCCATGAGTCCGTGAGACCATAACTGTCTATTTTTTATGTATTTTTTTTCTTTCTTTGTTTTTCAAAACAAGCTATTCAAAAAAATTAAAATAAATTTAATGAATATTTCCTGTCATGTCTCGGCCTCTGCGTCTGCAGTTCTGCACTCTGCAGAGTCTGCACCAAACTCTGCACTTTGCACTTTGCGGGGGCCTGCCTGTCTGCCAGGCCCAGAGCCCCAGACTGTCACTCTTTGACTGCTGGGGACAGGAACCCAATAAAGCACTTTACTCAGCTCTTTGTTTTTTTTAAATAAGCTATAAATAAATAATAATGTACAGTAATACTCTATAACATATCTATTCTTTTAAATTAAATGAATACGACACTGGCTGGAATCTGGATCCGCTCGAGACTAATATCTAAATCACAAGGAGGGCTTAGGCTTTTTATAGCCTTCTGAAAATAAAATATCCAGCGTGACAGAGGGACTCTAACTCCAACTCTCCACTCTCGAGTCTCCAGTCTCCAGTCTCCAGTCTCCTATTCTCCTGTACTATTGAAACTGTTGACTTAAATTTCCGAGACTTTTTTTGTTTTTGGGGGTCTATTTTTAAAATAAACCAATCATTGAATAAAGAGCAAAATCGACCCTTGTACCCCCCTATAAAATATATACAAAAAGTTTTGCCATTATAGGGATTCAACTATTTACTCTTTCAAAACTAGCCTCCCATTGAAATTCGACTCATCTACATTCTACATATATACATAATATACATACTCTCTCTATCTCCTGTGAGAGAAAGACTGTGAGTGTGAAAGAGACAAAAGTCAAAAAGAGACCGAACTTCTCGAGCTCTCTCTCTCTTCCCCCGGGCCCCTCTTCTTCTCTCTTGTGTGTGTGTGTGGACTTCGAGTCATCACTGCCACTCCGTAGTCCGTAACTCCGTACTACTCTGTAGTCTACACTCCACACGACCACGGGGCATAGGCTGGTGGCCTGGTGCCTGGTGCAGTGGATGTGGTGACCTGCTGGGGCCGGTTGCCAGTTGCCACCCGCTGCAGTGGTAAAAAGTTGAAAAAACTCAGTAGAGGCCTACTAAATTTTAAAGACGGTTGAATTTTCGCATTTGATTTGAGAGTAGGGCAATCAATATACATACAGAAGGATGAAATTTCCACCGGGGGTTTCGCCACCTTAATCTAGTAGGTGGTGTCATTGGTGTTGTGTATCTATTGTGAAGTCGTTCGAATAGTTCTATTTGACTGTGGCGGTCAAATGTGTGACCATCCGAACCAAAAATCACGAATATAACGTTCAGCGTGTTTTGAAAACGTTTTCCATCACGTGCAACGTACTCTATTTGTTATTCAGTGTGATGCTGAACAGTCTAAATGCAGTTTGACACATGTATCCTATATAATAATGTACTTTCCATCACGTTCCATCCCATTATACGGGACTGCACAGTCCTGCAAGATGTAGGCAAATTCAGGATATATATATATATATATA